AAAGAAAGAAAGAAAGAAAGAAAGAAAGAAAGAAAGAAAGAAAGAGAGAGAGAGAAAGGGAGAGAGAGAGAGAGAGAAAGGGAGAGAGAGAGAGAGAGAGAAAGAAAGAAAGAAAGAAAGAAAGAAAGAAAGAAAGAAAGAAAGAAAGAAAATGGGGCCATGAGATTTTAGCCCATAATAACCACACATCACCCATCCCACTTAAGTTTTAATCAGCAAAGGAAGACTATTGGTTCATTGCTTTTTCCAAGAGTATCTTTCATGGAGAACAAAGCAGGTTACAGATTTTAGAGCAGTGTTTCTCAACCTTGGCGAGTTGAAGTCCCCAGGACTTAAAGTCGCCAAGGTTGAGAAACACTGTTTTAGAGCAAGGTAGAATCCATCGGCTCAGCCGGGTGCCGCACATTGGCGGTTGTGGTGCAGATTTGGAGCGACAGGGAGCCGCAGCAGAGGGATGAAAGAACCCACATGCAGCTCCAGAGCCACAGGTTGCTGACCCAGTGAACTAGGTCATCAGATTAAACCGGCATAGACCTTATCTGCTTGGGCCCTGGGAATGACCTGTTCTCTACCATCTCGGAATGTGGGACATGGGATAATCCTATGTACTACGGACAGGCAAGTTCCAATGAACTCTTTTAAAACATCCTGCCTAACGGGGAGAATTCTAAGCAGACATTTCCGTGGTAGCAAATCAATGGCACGTGAGCCCAAAGTGACACACGAAGTCATGTTGCTCGGCACACGTGGCCTTGCCTGTTTGTCTTCCAGGTTTCTGGGGCGCATGTGCTTGCGAGGATCAGCTATCCATGAGTGCAGCAGTGCCAAAAACCGGTGTGCGCAGTTGCGCCGGCCAGCTGATTGTTGGGAACGCATGTGCGCTAGAACCGGGAAGTTTGGCTTTTCCACAGCGTGGACCCCGACGAGCGTGCAATGTTTTCGCGCAGCCTTTTTGGCCCTCGGTGCCGAAAATATAATTCTTTATTGGCCAAGTGGTGATTGGAAACACAAAAGGATTTGTCTCAGTGTACATAAGGAGAATAAAATACATTCATCCAGAATAAAAAGACACAATACTTAAGTGACAGTCAAGGTTACTATTAAGCAATCAAATCGTACTAGGAAAGAAACAAAAACAATATAAATTGAAAGATATAAACAACATGGTTATAGTCATAAGTGGGAAGAGAGAGATACTAGGAAGGAAGAGAATAATAATAGTAATACAGCCTTAGTAGATAATATGACAGTGTTGTGGGGATTAGTTGTTAAGCAGAGTGATGGCATTTGGGGAAAAACTGTCCTTGTGTCTAGTTGTTCTGGTGTGCAGTGCCCTATAGCGTCGAAAATGTTCGCCATCAATGGACTAGGCCATTGTTTCTCAACCTTGGCAATTTTAAGCTGGCTGGGGAATTCTGAGAGTTGAAGTCC